CAGCCTATGCAATCATGAGGTGTTGAAGGGATCAGGTATAAGGCATCATCAGGACGAGTTCTTTTTGGTACAGTGATTCGGTATTCTTTCCATCTTCTTTTGATGCTTCCTGCATCATTCATTATTTTGCCCATAGATTATTTCAGGATTGCAATTCAAGACTTGAACTTTTTGCTTGAGTTCTTCCAGTTTAAAATATGCTAAGTGTGTTCTTCCTTTTTGGTTTTCTAACTCTAGCTAGGTCTTTGCATATTATAATTTTCATTATATTTGACTTTACCTTCTCAAGTTGATCTTTGAAATTTTCTGTTCAGCTCTTTGACTTCATCATTTCTTCAATGTGTTTGAGTTATTCTATAATCAAGAGCAAATTTCAGTGTCTTCTGATATCTAGGTTGATCTTTTCTTTCCTATTTAATGACCTTTTGGTTTCTTCAGATACTGTGTTTTTTATATCATCTTACAATTTATTAGGTCTTCTGTCATTATTTAATGCATAAAATCTATTCTTGAGCTGTTCTCAAAATTCAAGTGGGATATGCTCAATTTTTTTGTGTGTGGCTCTTTTGGACTTCTTTCAATTTTCTTCAGCTTCAACCTGATGGTTTATTCCATAGTTTCCCCCTGGCCTCATTTTAGCTGCCGATATTGAGCTTCTTACTACACATGTAGTCAGTTTGATTTCTGTGTATTCCAACTGAAGAAGTCCATGTGTATAGCCACCTTTTTTATTGATGGTAAACGATTTATGCTGAAAAAGTGACTGGTCTTACAAAATAGTATCATTTGATTTTCATCTTGGCTTCTATTACCAAGGCCACATTTTCCAACTACTATTCCTTCCTCTTTATTCCAACTTTTGCATTCCAATCTCCAATAGTTATTTATAAATCTTGATTGCATGTTTGATCAATTTCAGGCTAAGGATGTGGTAAAATTATTCCATTTCTGCATCACTAGCTGTAATAGTTAGTGCATAAATGTGAATGGTGGTTGGTTTTCTAACTCTAAGCATTTGCACATTTTGTTTCGTATTTTCCTTTCTCTTCCTGAACTGCCCTGCTGTATCCATTCAGGTCCTTTACTCTTCATTTCTTCCATTTACTTTGGTTACCTTGAGTTCAAGAGCAAGTCTCTTCTGACATCTACTTTGGTCTCCCCCCCCCCCGCTTTCCTGTATCTTCTATGGCCTTTGACCTTCTTATGTGATGCCTGTGATGTCATACTATGACTCATCTAATCTTCTGTCATTAGTGTCTAATCCATCAAATCTTTCTTGAGATACTCTCTAAATTAAGATGGGATATGCTCCAGTTTTCACTTTGGCTCCCATCGACTTGTTTTAATTTTCTTCAGCTTCTACTTGAACTTGCATATAAGCAATTAATGGTCTGTTCAATAGTCAGCTTGAGGATATCGACTGGGATATTGAGCTTCTCTGATCATCTATCTCCACAGATAATAGCCTAGTTGATTGCTGTGTATTCCCCCTGGTGGGATTCCTGCTTGTGTTGTTTGGAAAAGGTATTTGTAATTACCAAGTTGTTTGTCATGCAAAATTCTATCAGGATATCGCTGGTGTCATTTCTATCACTAAGACCATATTCTTTTTTTGTTTTTTAATGTTCACATTCCACCCACCAGTAATTATTGGTGCATCTTGATTGTATGTCTGATGAACTTTAAACTACAGAAGTTGTTAAAAATTTCCAATTTCTTCATCTTTGGGATTAGTGGTTGGTGCATAAGTTTGAATAATAATTGTATTATCTGGTATTTCTTTTAGGCATATGTATCTTATTCTATCGCTGACATTGTATTTCAGGATAGATCTTGAATTATATTTCCTTTAACAATGATACTGATGCTATTCCTCTTCAAAATACTTTTCTGAAGTAGGAAAGAATATCCTTGTAAGCTCAAAATGACCAATAGCAGGCCCTTTCAGCTCAGCATAAGGTGTCATTCTTTATGCAATCCAATTCATTTTTTATGATTTCTAGTTTTCCTAGGCTAATATTGCCTACATTCCGTGTTCTGAATATTAGGGGGTGATTGCAGTTGTTCCTTCTCATTTTCAGTTGTGCCACATGAACAAAGCGAGGGCCTGAGCACTTCCCTCCGTGCACAGCGTGGAGGTGGATTCTGCGTTGAGGCAGCAGTCCTTCCCCCGTGCCTTCCAGTTGAGGAGTTCCTCTTGTGGCCCTGTCTCAGACAGAGTTGGGCTGCTATTCATAAGGTTTTCACTGGCCAGTATCTTAGAAGTTGTGCTGCCAGGTTTTTTTTCCCTTTGTTTTCTTTGCTTGGAACCGCTGCTGAAACTATCTGCCCTGGGTGACTCTGTGGGAACTGGAAATATTGCTGATGCAGCTTCTAATATCACAACAGCACTCAAGTAATCACAATATGAATCGCTGACAGAAAAAATGATTCAGTAGTGTTTTATTGACTGTGCAAAGGCATTTGGCTTGTTGCAAATCATATTATGGATAACAGTGACGAGAAGGGGAGTTCCAGAAGACTTAATGTTGCTCAGGCAGGAACTACATCGGTCCCGGTTAATGTAGTTTAGATCAGGAAAGGAGTGCATCAGGGTTGCATCCATTCACCACACTAAGTCAATCTATATGCTAAGCAATAAGCCAAGGAGCTGGAGTATATACACAAGAACGCAGCAGCAGGATTGAAGGAAGACACACGAACAACCTGTGATGTGCACTTGATAAATTCTTGCGTGCTGAAGATGAAAATGGGAAGCACTTACTGATGAAGATCAAAACCTTCAGCATGGATTAGACCTTAACATAAATAAAACAAATTTATCACAACTAGATCAATGGAAAACACCATGATAAATGGGGGGTGGGGGCGGGGGGCGGAGATAGAAGTTGTCAGGGATTTAGTTTTACTTGGAGCCATAATTAGTACCCACAGAAGCAGTGGTCATGAATTAAATGATGTAGTATATTGGGTAAATCTGCTGCAGACGATCTCTTAGAGTGTTGAAGAGCAAGGATGCCACTTGGACAATTAAGGTGTATCAGACTCAAGCCATGATATTTTCGGTTGAGTCATCTGCATGTGACAGCTGGACAGTGAATGGGAAGACTGAAGAAGCATTGGTGCATCCCAATTAGGGTGAATGGCGTTGACTGTATCATGTGCTATCAGAAGAACAAACACGTCTTGGAAGAAATACAGTGTAGTATTAAATTAAAAAATGGCGCTGGGGAGGTGAAGGGCCAGCCCCCACCCGCTGATTACTCCTATTACTACTACTCGGATTCAGTAATACTACTTCTGGGTTCAGTAATGCACAATTGTATGGTTGAGATATATAAGTATTATATTAAAGTCATCGAGAGCATGAGAGATAATACAATAATACAGTCAGGCATATTACATGGTACCATTGCTCACCTCAGCCCAGCTTGGTGGTCCACGTGGAGAGAGGGGGAAGGGAAGGAGGGGAAGGGAACAAGGGAGAGGGGGAAGAGAGTCAGGGAGGTCAGAGTCCGAGAGAGAAGTCCGAGTCCTCAGGGTCCGAGCGCTCTATATAGCTGACCCATGCCTATATACCTTTTGGGGGCATGCCAGCCCACTAATTACAGGTAGAGACATACGTCACAGGGAGGGGTTACACTATAGGGTACCCAGTAATGAGAGGGTGGTCTCTGGGTCTCCATAGAAACCATTATCAGTTGGGTGCAAACCCTGCCTACAGGAGCCTGTCCATTGTTTCCAGAGGCAGGGAGCAGGCCCACCCCTGTGGAGGGATGAGACAGTAGTCTGGCAATAAGTATCTTACCTCCCCCCACAATACAGCCAGAATATTCCTTAGAAACTAGGGTGGTGAGACTTGGTTTTATATACTTTAGCCATTCTATGAGGCAGGCCCAGTCCCTGGAGAAGGACCTCATGCATAGTAACGTGGAGAGTCAGGGAAAAAGAAGACTTTTAAGGAGATGGATTGACACAGTGACTTCAACAATGGGCTCAAACATAACAATTGTGAAGGTGGTGAAAGACCAGGGAGGTTTTTCGTTCTGCTGTACATAGGATTGCCTTAAGTTGTGTGGTAGTTACATAATCTGTCAACTTGCAAAGGGGTGGAGTCTAGCCTGTCAATCAGGTCATAACCAATGAGGCCTCTGTGTGGGCATGGCCTTCTCCTGTGGATTCTGGGAACTCCTGTCTTTGTCTCCCTGTGAGCTATTCCTAATGACAAGCCACATGTAGCTACCCTGATGAAGCCAGACCCGTGGAGCTGGAGAAGCCACATGGAGACCCATGCCAGTGCTGAGATGCTTACATCACCACTGGATCCACAAAACTTTCCACCCACTGGCCTGTGGTCTTCCTGCATTCAGCAACATTGCATGTGTTTTGTGAGTCTGCAGAGGAATTCATAGATTGGTATCAGACAGATGGGCTGCTATCGGACTTATGGACTTGGTCTGGACTGGGATGGATGTTTTCTCAATATTCAATTGCTGTTGTATACAAAGCTCTCTCTTAAACACATATGAGTGTCTAAATAAATTTTGTTTTTCTAGTCAACCCAGACTAACACAAGTTGGAACTAACATGACAGTGTCTAAGAACACCAATAACCATTGCATCTCTAGGACTATGCAACTGGTTTATTTGTCTTCAAGCACTTTTGACAAATGCCAATCAGAGGACCTTTCCAGTCCTGAGAAAGCTTGCGATGGGTTAAGCCAGTTGTTCTCAACCTAATGCCACGACACTTTAATACAGTTCCTCATGTTGTGGTGACCCCAACCATAAAATTATTTTCGTTGCTACTTCATAACTGTAATTTTGCTACTGTTATGAATTGTAATGTAAAGATCTGATATGCAGGATGTATTTTCATTGTTACAGACTGAACATAATTAAAGCATAGTGATTAATCACAAAAACAATAGTTAACTATATATTATGAAATATTTATTTCTTATTACAAATAAGTGAACTTTTATCTTGAAGCATGGTGTAGCATGGGCAACATCCTTAATATAACAACAATAAGCTACATTGCTACATTTTGCGACAGGATGTGTAAAAAGCCAACATCAGTGCGAAGGTTGAAATAGCACCTTTCTCACCAGATCAGCATAGCTGCATGTGGGCAGACCTCCCTGGAGACGGATAGAGGAGCGGTGTCTCAGTTCCCAAGATCATTGGAAATATGCTTTCCGATGGTCTTAGGTGACCCCTGTGAAAGGGTCGTTTGACCCCCAAAGGGGTTGAGACCCACAGGTTGAGAACCACTGGGTTAAGCAAAGACAAGCCCTGACCGCGTCCTTAATTCCGGCACCAGAGAGGTCAAAACATACAACCATCATTGTTGTATGGTTGAGAACAAGGGTCTGTATTGCCCCCTCTGGTAGCAGCAAGCCCCACAACTAGGAAAAACAGCTCATTAGATTAAAGGGATAGAAATGACACTAGTGGGGAGTGAAATAATTATAGTGCTTTGTGTTTAGTCAGTGGAGGTTTGAGAGAAATCATTTTATAGCGTCTTCTATGCTTATTTCTAGAATTTGGATCCCTATGCATCCAGAGATGCTCTGAAGAATGACAGCAAGCTTGTAGGATAGCTACTGCAACATGATGGCTGAAGACAAGAAGCCTATTGTTAGAAACTTTCCTGTTGGTGTTACCACCTTACTTCTAACAATAAGTCAGTTTTCGCCTGAGAGTGTGTTTAGCGTAGACTGGTCAGAAAAAAAGCTCACTTGGCTTCCGGGAGATCTATCACCCCAAACCAAAGTCTTAAATGTGTCGCACAACAACATATCTGACCTTCAGGTCTCTGACATCAGCTTCCTGTCAGAGCTGGAAATTTTGATACTTTCGCATAATAGAATCCAACAACTTGATCTGAGTGTTTTCCGGTTCAATCAAGATTTAGAATACTTGGATTTATCTCACAATCAGTTGTGGAAGCTCTCCTGCCACCCTCTTGTGAGTCTCAAGCATTTAGACCTCTCATACAATGACTTTGATGCTCTGCCCATCTGTAAGGAATTTGGCAGCTTGATGCAGCTGGTATTAAGTGTTACAAAGTTAGAGCAATCAGATCTCCTACCCATTGCCAATGACCTGCATCTGAACTCCCTCCTTGTGTATTTAGAGGGGTACTATGCGAAAACAAATGAAACAGAAAGTCTCCAAATTCCGAATACAAAGAAACTCCATTTTATTTTTCATCCAAATAGTTTATTCTCTATCCGAATGAATATATCAGTTAACATTTTAGCGCTCTTAGAACTGACTAACATTAAATTAAATGATGAGAACTGCCATGTGTTAATGAACTTTTTATCAGAACTCACCAGGGGTCCACACTTAGTAAATATGACCATGAATCGCGTAGAAACAACTTGGAAATGTTTGGTTACACTGTTTCAATTCCTTTGGCCCAAACCTGTGGAATATCTAAATATTTACAGTTTAACAGTCATTGAAGACATTAGTGAGGAATATTTTAAATATTCTAAAACTGCATTGACAGCGTTGACAATAGAACATTTTCGATATAGAGACGTGCTTTTTTCCCAGAATGCACTGTATTCCGTGTTCTCGGAGATGAACATTATGATGTTAACCCTGACAGATACAACTTTTATACACATGCTGTGTCCTCAGAAACCCAGCAAGTTTACCCTCTTGAATTTCACCCAGAATGTCTTCACAGACAGTATTTTTGAAAATTGTTCCACGTTGTCTCGATTGGAGACACTTATCTTACAAAAGAATGGATTAAAAGACCTTTTCAAGATAGGTCTCATGACTCAGCATATGCTGTCTTTGGAAATGCTGGATGTTAGCCGGAATTCTTTGGAGTTGCATAGACACGAGGGAAATTGCGCTTGGGCTGAGAGCATAGTAGTGCTAGATTTGTCTTCAAATATGCTTACTGATTCTGTTTTCAGATGCTTACCTCCGAAGGTCACAGTACTTGACCTTCACAATAACAGAATAAAGAGCATTCCTAAAGATGCCACCAGCCTGGACGCTTTGGAAGAACTGAATGTTGCTTTCAATTCCTTAACTGACCTTCCTGGCTGTGGCAGACTTAGCAGCCTTTCTGTACTGATCATTACCAACAATGCCATTTCCCAGCCGTCAGCGAAGTTCTTCTCCAGTTGCCAGAGGATGAGGTCAGTGAAAGCAGGGAACAATCCATTCCAATGTTCCTGTGAGCTAAGAGACTTTATCAAAGGTATCAGTCACATGTCAAGTGATGTGGTCGAGGACTGGCCTGAGTCTTATAAGTGTGACTACCCAGAAAGCTACAAGAAAACCGCGCTACAGGACTTCCACGCGTCTGAGTTAGCCTGCAACACAACTCTGCTGATTGTCACCATTGGCATCAGCATGCTGGTGCTGGCTGCTCTTGTGACCTTTGTCTGCGTCTGCTTCGATCTGCCCTGGTACCTCCGGATGGTGTGTCAGTGGACCCAGACCCGGTACAGGGCTCGGAACATCCCTTTAGAAGAACTCCAGAGAAATGTCCAGTTCCACGCGTTTATTTCATACAGTGGGCATGATTCGGCCTGGGTGAAGAATGAACTACTGCCAAACCTAGAGAGAGAAGGCTTGCGGATCTGTCTCCACGAGAGAGACTTCGTGGCTGGCAAAAGCATCGTGGAAAACATCATAAACTGCACTGAGCAGAGTTACAAGTCCGTTTTCGTTTTGTCTCCCAACTTTGTCCAGAGTGAGTGGTGCCACTATGAGCTCTACTTCGCCCACCACAAACTCTTCCATGAAGGATCTCATAACCTAATCCTGATCTTGCTGGACTCCATCCCACAGAACAGCATTCCTAGCAAATATCACAATTTGAAGGCTCTCATGGCAAAGAGGACTTACTTGGAATGGCCCAAGGAGAAGAGCAAGCATGGGCTTTTCTGGGCTAACGTTAGAGCTGCTTTTAATACAAAGTTAACACTCCAACTCCCAAATGACACTCAAGGCCATTGAGTTGATTCTGACTCATAGCAACTCGATTGGGCAAAGTAGAACTGCCCTTGTGACTTTCCAAGACCGTGAATCTTTACCAGAGAAAGTCTCATCTTTCTCCCACTGAGTGGCTGGTGATTTCGAACTGCTGACCTTGTGGTTTGCGGCACAATATGTAACCCACTTCATCACCAGGGCTCCATAAACCAGTCACCAAATATAAGAAAGTGAAAACTTAAAAGATAAAACTCAGAAATGCAACTTAAAAAACTATCATTAATTTAATTCTGATGAACACTTTGGTTCTAAGTTACTGTCTAGATGATGCTTCTATTACTTGTGTGCCTATGGGGCAGCTTGAATGAAAATTCTGTCTCAAAAGAGATCAAGAATCAGGCAGTCACCGGGTGGGGATGGACATGAGGTGGTACTCACAGTTGCCTCTCAGAGATGGCTCCATCTCTTCGTTTCTTTCACATTGGAACAATCTCTTTTGAATAAATTCTGTTATCCAAGTAATTTTCCCTTTTGTTCTCCTTTTCCAAGAGGATTGAGCGTGAATGTAGGAATCGATGTAACTTCTTATCACCGAATAAAGAATTAACCTCAGATTTCTATGGGCAGAAACTTGTCCTGTCCTGTGTGTCTCCACTGGTCACTATAGGAGCGGCATCCTTCTGTTCAACTTTGAGATTTGAGGGGGAAAAGATCTGTTTGAGAAAATAATTTTTTCACAGATCATAGTAAAAGTTTATTAAATTATGAACCCTCCTTCCTATATGGATGAGTGTGAATCATAGCATAATACTTTGTATATACAATGATATATTTAACCTTGGCTTATAGTCCTAGGTCACGGAGGTGAAAGACTTAAGATTTACCCAATTCCCAAGGGAATTTAGGGGCAAATTTATCTGTAACCAGATATTGAATGGGACCCCTAAATTTGTCTTAGAATTTTGGCTAAAACTCCAAAGCTAACTAAAAACGAGGTAACTGCCCCCACATTTTAAGTTAACTAGACACTGCCGTGTTAGACGTACTTACTCAAAGATAGTTGAAAAGGTCCTACACGTCCCAAATCATTACTCCTCCCCCGCCCATATGTGGGAAGATGATTGTCAAGAGTGGGGAGAGTCACCTCAGCCAATGGAGGGAGGAGGAGATTGCTCTGGGTTTCTCCAGAGGCCAGTGTCAGGGGCTCTAAGCTAGGGATGAGAGCAGTGATCTGCTATCCCACTACAGAGAGGAAGCTTGTAGAGTAACAGGGTTAAGCATATCCAGTGCAGCAGATTAGGGGTGATGAACAATCCCTTGGAACAACTTGATGGATGGGCTCTAGAGTGTGAGGAATTGTGAACGTAAAACCCACTGCTGTCAAATTGATTCTAACTGACAATGTCCCTGATAAATAGTGATGGGAAAAGACAGTGTCTGGTAAATCTTTGTTGAACTTTGTGAACTTCCCCATCTGGAGAAACCAGAAGGTAAGAGGTTAACTTGGGCTGTCCAGAAGGTCAGAATGAGGACAGAAGGAAAAAGAGCACATAAACTGAACTGCCACCATGTGATGTGGTCAAAGTACAAGAAGTTCCTGTGGGACAACTTGACCATGAGAGGGTAGCTGGGCTTGGGTCGTCATTATAGAACCTGTCCAATGGGACATCATCCTGTTGTACATAGATATGGTAGCAGTGAGAGGCCATAAGGTCAGGGGAAAAAGGTGTTTGAGTGTGGGGTGGGGCTGCAAAAGATCAACCAGGGCGCATTCCACCTGCATCCAACAAGTGTGTAATGTGGAGGTCGGTCTGAGGCCTCGAAAGATCTCACAAATGTGCCCCACGGAAGAGTCAACATTGGACTCTCCAATAACAAGGGTGAGGGTTATGACGGCCAATCTACTTTATCTAAAGATTAACTCCAAGGCGATCTGCTCCTCTATAATATTCCACCCCTTAATGTGCCTGGAAAACAAAAGCAATGGAATCAACAAGACAAAAATTTGTTTTTTTGAAAAAAATTAACAAAATTGAGAAAGCATTGGCAAACTTAAAGGAAAAGAAAGAAGATACAAATATCTAGAATTAGAGATGAAAAGGGCGACATCAAGAAAGATCCAAATGAAATAAAAATAGTAGCACATTAATACATAACACCATACTCCAATAAGTTTGGTAACCTAGAAGAAATGGACTAATACCTGGAATTACACCCCCTACCCAAATCAACACAATCGGAGGTAGAAGGCCTGGACACACTCAGAACAAAAGAAGAAACAGGGAAGACCGTCAAGGAGCTGCCACCCAAGAAAAGCCCAGGATTAGACGGCTTCCCAGGGTAGTTTTACCAGGTATTTAGGGAGGAGCTGTCACCCATTCTACACACACGGTTCCAGAATATAGAACAGGACCGCAGACTCTCCAACTCATTCTATGACACAAACAGAACCCAAGTACAGAGATGCAAACTTCTTAGCAAAGTTCTGGCCAATCGAACCCAACGACATATCAGAAAAAATAATTCATCATGACAAAGTGGGATTCATACCAGTGATGAAAGGATGGTTTGAAAGCAATCAATGTAACTCACAAGATAAGACAAAGAATTAGGACTACATAATTATATCAATAGATGTAGAAAAAGCATTTGACTTCATCCAACACCCATTTCTGATAAAAAATAAAATTGGGTTAGATGGGATATTCCTCAACATAATAAAGGTCATATACTATCAGAAGACCCAAAACAAACAATTGTATCAATGCAAACAAGGGGGGGTCAGAGTGGAGACCCAAAGCCCATCAGTAATTGGAAGTCCCCTCACAGAAGGGTCACAGACGAGCCAGTCAGCATGCAGTATAGCACCGAGGAAACACACAACATTCCTCTAGTTCTTGAATGCTTCCTCCCCGCACTATCATGACCCCACTTCTACCTTACAAATCTGGCTAGACCAGAGTATGTACAATGGTACAGATAAGAGCTTGCAACCCATGGAATCCAGGAGAGATAAACTTCTCAGGACCAGTCACGAGAATTGTGATACCATGGAAGATGGAGGGGGAAGGGGGACAAAGCGGGAGCCGATCACAATGATTGATGGATAACACACACACACACACACACACCTGAGGGGGACGAACAGCAGAAATGTGGATGAAGGGAGACAGTGGATGGTGTAAGATATGAAGACAATAATAATTTATAATTTATCAGGGAGCACAAGGGTGGCGGGGAGGAGGAAAAAAAGAGGAGCTGATGCCAAGGGCTCAAGTAGAAAGAAAATGCTTTGAAAATGATGATGGCAACGTATGTACAAATGTGCTTGATACAGTTGATGTATGGATTGTTATAAGAGCTGTAGGAGCCCCCAATAAATAGATTTATTAAAACAAAGGCCACATACAAAAAGCCAACGAGGGGAAAACTAAAAAACATTTCCCCTGAAAATGGGAAACAGATGAGGACGTCCCCTACCATGTCTCTTATTTACCATAATGCTGGAAGTTTCGACCAGAACCATCAGACAACAGAAAGAAATCAAGGCAATACAATTGGGCAAAGTGAAATACTTGCTATTTGCAGGTGATATGATTTTCATATAGAGATAACCCAAAGGAATCCACAAAAGACTTTTGGAAACATTGAGAGATTTGATAAAGTAGCAGGATATAAGATTAACAAAGAGAGAGCTCCGAAAAAAACATCAAGGAAGCAATACCATTTACAATAGTCATAAAATAAAATAAAAAAGAAATACCTAGGAATAAACCTAACCAAAGAAGCAAAATACCCGTACAAAGAAAACTACAGAACATTATTACAAGAAACCAAAAGAGACCTACACAAATGTGTTCGTGGATCGGAAGGCTCAATATTGTAAAAACTGTCAATACTCAAATTTACACGTGTGCTTGACACTGGATGTATGTATGGATGGTGATTAGAGTTACGAGCCCCAAATAAAATGATTTTTTTTAAAAGAAAAGAATATGTCAATACTACTTCATGCAATCTACAAGTACAATGCAATACCAATTCAGATCTCAACCTAATTCTCTAAAGAAATAGAAAAACTAATTACCAACTTCATATGGAGATGGAAGAGGCCCAGAATATGCAAACAACTTCTCAGAACAAAGTAGGCCCCTCACTACCCAAGCTCAAAACCTGCTACACAGCCGCAGTATTCAAAACAGCCTGGTACTGGTACAATGATAGATACATAGACCAATAGAACAGGATAGAAAATTCAGACATAAAAGCAGCCACCTACAGGCAATTGATTTTTGACAAATGACCAAAAAGCATTAAATGGGATAGGGACCCCCTCTTTACAAATGGTGCTGGGAAAATGGCATCTCTGTATGCAGAAGAATGAAACAGGACCCATACCTCACCCCAGGAACAAAAATGAACTCAAGATGAGTTAGAGACCTAAATATAAACCCCAGAACTATAAGGATCATCAATGAGGAAATAGGGAGACATTTAAGGGCCCTATTACAGGGCATACACAGACTACCAAATATAATAAAGGAAGCACACACAGTGAGAGATAAAACAGAAGACTGGGACCTATTACAAATGAAACACTTGTGCACATCAAACGAGTGAAACAAGAGCCCACGGATGGGGGGGGGGGGGGGGATCTTTATTAATGACACAATGGATGGGGGACTAGTTACCAAAGTCCAGAGACTTCTGCTCTGCAGCAACGTACTCCAACAGAAGAAGAGTTGTGAGGATGATACAGCCTTGGGTGCTGTTCTGTTATACAGAGGGCCGCTATGAGTCAGCGGAACCAGCTCAATGGCACCTAACAACGACAACATAGACATCTAGAACACCTCCATAAGAAAAAAAAAATCCCATTGAAAGGTGAGCAAAGGACATGACTAGACAATTCAGAAGGGATGATGCTCAAATGGCTAACCAACACACCGGGAAGTGCTCAGTATCACTAGCAGTCCAGGAGATGCAAATAAAAATAACAATGTTCCCACCCAAGGGGAGGGTATTGTTTACAGGAAAAGAGGGACCAGACTTCAGCCCAGTG